TGTACCTTTGTCGCGCGCCGGAAACGACGCCGCTGAGATCGGAGATCAAGCTCTGACAGGTCGCACGTCGCTCCTTTGACGCCGACGTGACTCACCCGTGCAGATCACATCAGGACACGGTCTCGACACGCTCGGTACGACGCCTGCGACCCGTCTTGGGTCAGGTGGCACGACGCTCATCGCGCCCGCCAGCGCTGCCATGCAGGTTGCCACGACGAGGTCGAGCACGCTTCTATACGCTCGCCCAGCCTTCCTTTCCATCCCATTAGGCAGCCTGGGAACGGTGGCGGTCAGAGGCAAAGCCTGCGAGGGGTGGTGGAACCACATGTCACGGCTACCGCCGGCTCGACCCCACGATAGCCTCCGGAGGCTGACTTTGAGGCACCATCATCGGACGATGTTGACGAGTTGGGTCGCTCTCGCGGTAGCCAGATGACCTCTCATACTAGTATCATCGGCCATGGCCGCAGGAAGCGCGGGGGATTCCGCTGGGAGCAACACGGAGCTCCGTTGGACGCGTTTTCAAGATTAGCGTGTCAGAGTGAATTGGAACTAGCCGAGAGGGGGCGAGCAAACAGCATGGAGAGGATGGAGAGCCGGTGACGAAAGCCCAGAAGCAGCGCCTACGCAAACGAATGGAGGGATCGGCAAGAAAATCGGGGGATCAAAAGTCATACGAGAAAGACCGCAGCAAGAGGCGAAGAGGAGGAGGGGTGAGGGAAAATTTCTGAACGGCCGAGCCTGCAAAGCAGGCCCGGACAACTAAGAAGGTCCCTCGCCCAGTGTTCAGAGATCGTAGTGGAACTTAACAATGCTCGTAAAACCATGATCGATGCGAGGACGCAAGTCCATCAACCTCGGCCATTCCAACGGCCAGATCGCTCGCTTAAGGCTGATTGGCTAGACGAGCGGTCTACCTCCAACGGGGCGGTCCGGGAACGCGTGGAACCTGCCCGCCTCGGTGGGAGGTGGTTTGGCGCCGACGGGCCGCCCTCTCCACCACCCTCGCCCAGGGATCTACAATGCTGTCTTAAGGTCCGACAGGTTCGGCACCGGGCACCGCCTCGGTATACAAAATGCGCCTGCGGGCGGACCCTTACAGATCACAGATCACTCACTCCTGCCCCGGCGCCCACGCCTCGACCTTCTTGGGCAGCAGCTGGTTCGGCAGGTCCTCTCCGTGGCCCAGGCAGCCGTGTTCGCCCTTGCCCCACGTGAAGACAGCTCCGTCGGCGGTGATGGCGATGCTGTGGTTGCTTCCCGCCGACACAGCGACGACGCGCTCGCCAGCAAAAGCCTCGACCTTCTTGGGCAGCAGCTGCTGCTGCTCGTCGCCGTGGCCCAGCTTGCCGCAAGCTCCATCGCCCCAGCTCCAGACACTACCGTTGGCGGTAAGGGCGAGGTTGTGGTTGCCTCCGGCCGACACAGCGACGACGCGCGGGCCAGCAAAGGCCTCGATCTTCCTGGGCAGCGGTTGGCGCTGCCGGTCGCCGTGGCCCAGCTGCCCCCCACCTCCATCGCCCCAGCTCCAGAGAGCGCCATCGGCGGTGAGGGCGAGGCTGTGGAAGTATCCAGGCGCGACAGCGACGATGCGCAGGCCAGCCAAGGCCTCGATCTTCCTGGGCAGCAGCTGGTTATGCTCATCGCCGTGGCCAAGCCGGCCATCGCGTCCACAACCCCAGCTCCAGAGGGCGCCGTCGGCGGTGAAAGCGAGGCTGTGAGCGAATACCGCCGACACAGCGATGACGCGCTGGCCAGCAAATGTCTCGATCTTCTTGGGCAGCAGCTGGTCCTGCTCGTCGCCGTGGCCCAGCAGGCCAGAGCCTCCATCGCCCCAGCTCCAGACAGCGGCGTCGGCGGTGATGGCGAGGCTGTGGCTCTCTCCAGCCGACACAGCGACGACGCACTGGCCAGCCAAGGCCTCGACCTGCTTCGGCTGCCACTGCCGCTGCATGTCGCCGTGGCCCAGCTCGCCAAAGGCTCCACTGCCCCAGCTCCAGACAGCTCCGTCGGCGGTGAGGGCGAGGCTATGCGCAGCTCCCGCCGTCACGCTCACGACACGCTCACCCGGCATCGACGGGAGGCGGGTCGGCGTATTGAGCCGCGTCACGCCCTCCCCGTGACCAAGTAGCGATGGGTTGAAGGTCTGCGCCGAGCCGCACGACGAGAGCCGCCCCTCGCCGTCGATGAAGAGGCTGTGCCGGTCGCCTGCCGCCGCCCTCGCTGGCGGGTTGGACTCGCGCAGCAAGGCATAGCCGCACAGCCACCGCACGGCGCAGCTCTCGCCCTCTGGCAGCGCCGGCAGCTCGTAGCCGCACTCTTGCGCCCGCAAGCGGATGCCCTCCAGCGCCAGCGAGGCGTGGAAGAGCAGCGAGACGGCCGCGACGCGAGCGATGTCGACGGGGTCGCAGCGAGAGATGGCGCGCACGATGAGGTCCGTGGGGAGGTCGAGGAGGCGGGCGGGCGGCGGCCTTGGCGAGGGAGTGGCGGTGGAGGAGGCGGCGAGGCGGTGCGAGCGGCGTGGTGCGGCGCACATATGCGTCGCGGCGAGGGATGTCTGAAATCATCTCTCTCCCGGGAGAAAATTCTGATCCGAATCAGCATGTCTCTCGTCTCTCTGCTCCTCGCTCGGCCGGGCGGCGACCCGGGTGGTGCGGAGGCGCCGCCGCTGCGCGTGCGCGCGCACGAGGCGGCGCTGGAGCACGCCTGCTGTCGCCGCCACGGCCCGACGCCCGGGGCCGGACGTCGAGCCGGACAAACTTTTGGCGAGAGCAGACCGAGCATCTTCACCGAGCACCTTCGGATCGACCCGCTCTCCTGCAACGAGCCGCGGGAGGGAGGCTCGTGTGATCCGGCCGGAGCGGCGGCGCGTGGCGCACGCACGCCCCGCTCGCCCGCGGCCGCTGAGGCATACCCGGCAAGAGCCAGCTTTGCCCCCTCGGCGACATTTGCGAGGCTCACCTCGCCGCCGTGCTGCGGGTGCGGCGGTTGGCTCGTGAGGTGCGCGTGGCCGCGCGTGGCGCGGCCGGCCCCTCGGGGCGGGCGCGGTGCTCGGCATCGACGTCGTCCACAAGGACGTCGAGCTGAACGACAAGGCGTGGCTCCACGAGGCGCAGGGCTACCTCAACCACCCCAAGGGCGCCATCACCCTCGCCACGCGCTGCGTCGGCGTGGGCCCTAACTCGGTGTGCATCTACCACCGCACGAGGCTACCGGGATGCGTCCCGTGCGACATCGGCGAAGCGCGAGTGCCGCGCACGCTGTCGCTCTTCGAGCACCTCAGCGGCACGCACTGGGACGGGTGCAACTACGGCGGCTGGTTGGCCACGGGGCACGCATCCCTCAACACCCACGTCACGAACGTCGCCCGCGCCTTCGGCGCCTCGGCAAAGGTCATGGAGGTGAGGCTCGGCTGCAGGGACCCGACGCGGACGCACGATCCGGACACCAACCCGTACCAGCGGGGCGACGGCGTTTTCGGCAACTATGCAGAGTCGGCACGCGCCGTGGTGTACGACGGCACGTGCGTCACCGCGGTGCACCACGACAGGCTGCGCCCGCTGGCGAGCGGCAAGCGCCTAGCCACCGACTACGCCGAGGCGACGAAGCGGAAGGCCAAGGCAGCGGCGTGCGACGCCAAAAACTGCGACTTTATGACGTGGGCGGCGAGCACGCGTGGCGGCATCGGGCACGAGGCGGCGACGTGGTTCAACACCAACTTCGACATCAAGGCCGCTAAGGCGTCCTCCGACAGCGAACGATGGCGGGTCAGTAGCGAGCGCAAGCGCTTCCTGCAAGTGCACTCGACCATCGTCGCGAGGCGCAACGCCGCCATCTTCGACTACAACGCGTGGCCGAAGATGGGCGGCGAGATGCCGCGGGCGCCTCGGGAGCAGTATGCGACTGCGACGACGGACCGCTCGCAAGAGACCATTGGGTTTGTACTATTAACAACGAAGGCGCTCTCAAAAAGAAAAAAATCGTTCTCGCCGTATTAACTCGTCTTGCCCTCGCCCTCGCCCTCGCCCTCCCGCGCCCCCAGCAGCCCCAGCCAAAAAAGAATTTTACAACAAAACTTCCTCGCACGACGTGTTGCGACGTGAGTCGTGACCCCTGCAAGAGAGAGAGATTTTAGAGAACCAACAAGAAATCACGACTCTCACAGTGATTTGGGCTCGGCAGCTTGTTTGTGATGCACCTCCCCCCAAAAAAGTTTGTTCTCTCAAAAAAGTTTGTTCTCTCAAAAAATGTTGTTCGCTCAATCAACTATACACTAAGGGTGACACGAGACCTTCTTTCTCGTTCCCGCGGTCTTTGACACACCGAAAAAAGCCCCGCCGTTTGTGGAACGACGCTGCTTGCTCTGCGGTCGGAGGAGTACGCGCCAGGCGTAGCTACGTCCTGGCTGTCCTGTGTGGAGACGTGCCAGGG